AAGACCAAGTGCCACCTCCAAGTACCGTTTGCCTGCGTAGGCCCAGGCTTCCCCGGTCTTTCCTGTCCGCCACGGCGAACGTTTTGCTTTCATCAACCATCCACACAGCAGCTGACAGCCTCGGATCCGAGAAAAGCACAAGAAAAGAATCTGGTCTTGAAGCCCCAGGTGCGACGACAGCCAGGACTGGCATTCAGCACCTTGAGGTAATGGTTCTGCACTTTGTGCCTCAATTGAGCAAGATGTGCAGTCTTATTCGCTTCCGTTTACATGGAGGACCACAGCTGCAAGCGATGTCAATGCAACCCGAGCACAGTTCGTCGCGAACGAAGGACACAGGGTAGCCTCGCCCAGCCAAAAACTGGAAGGCTGTGTAGAGAGGCCCTCCTTGGTCCGCCTGGAGGACCAGGCGAAGCACGTCCTCAGAGACCTGCTGCCAGGATGCTTCCCCTGTCTCCATTTGGCAGAGGAAAGACCTCGAACCGTAGCTCTGGCGGCAAATGTCTCGAGCTGGGTCTGCACCCTGCAACAACACATCGGCTTTCTCGAAGTCCAGCTCCAGCAAGTTCATCACGTGTATCACAGACTGTAGCTGCTCCCTGGAGGACAATCTTTCTTGCTTGATCTTGCCAATGGTCTTGGGCCTCAATAGTCAGCCGTGTTTCTGAAGGGAAACAGGCAAAAACGGCCGGAAGCTGCGTACTCAAGTGCCTGCAAGGCTCAGCTTGGCCATGGTACTTGGCTGGGAACCCCCGAATTCAAAGTTCGCCGAGAAGGCGTCCGCCGCCTTCTGAATCTCCTCCAGCTTGGCCGATGCTGGTGCCGTGGAGCACTGGATGTCGGCCAACCGCTGCAACACCCACGACACCATGGTGTCCTTTGCCGATACCAAGGGAAGCCACACCTCTGGATAGGGACATGTGCGAGTGCAAGCCTATGAAAACTCTAGTGCAAGCATGCAGCATCGGCTTTCGCTTTGGGCGAAGCATCGCAGATGATGTTCAGGCTCTTGAATCTCACGTCACTCAGAGCCTCATGCAATTTCATTCTTTCCAGAGACTTCAAGACAGAACCTGAGGCCCCGAGGCCTGCCGGAGAACTTGAGCAGACCGTCTGAAGTACCGGAAAGCGTAGTCGCAACTCAACCTCGGCAGGATTCAAAGATGCTTCTGTCCTAAATTAAAACTGTCTCTGGCAAAACGTGGACTCGCGTACACCTCATCCTCCTTTGGCCAGATGGAGTCATGGCAACAGCACCCCTCATTTGGCACCAAGTCGCCGATGATACTGGGATGGGCACATGTCACCCAAACCCAGGTCCCGGAGACTCCGGTCGGAGGCTGCCGTGTTGAAGCCGGAGGATCGGGCCAAGAATCTGTCCATGGCGAAGACGTGCTTCAGCTTGGCCTCCTTCTTCAGGGCTCTGCCGTCCCTCAGCTCAGACAGACGATGCAGGAGATGTTGACTTGCAGCGAACAACTGCTGCTTCCTAGCAACAAGTCCTAGGCCTGGATTTTCCAGCAATGGGCTCTATCTTCTGTCGCAAT